TCTCTGTGCCTCTGACTCTAGTGGGAGGATACTTTGGGACAAGAGCTGAGCCTATCCAGTTCCCTGTGCGTACGAACCAGATTCCTAGGGAGATCCCGGAACGCAAATACCCATCGTGGCTTCTTGTTCTTGGTGCTGGAACCCTTCCGTTTGGAACTCTTTTCATCGAGCTTTTCTTTATACTCTCTAGCATCTGGTTTGGACGGTTCTATTATGTGTTTGGGTTTCTTCTCATTGTCCTCCTCCTGTTGGTGGTTGTCTGTGCGGAAGTCTCTGTCGTCCTCACTTATATGCATCTTTGTGTTGAGGACTGGATGTGGTGGTGGAAAGCATTCTACGCCTCAGGTTCTGTTGCCTTATATGTGTTCTTGTATTCTGTCAACTATCTCGTGTTTGACCTCCAGAGCCTGAGTGGGCCAGTCTCCGCCACACTTTATCTTGGATACTCTCTGTTGATGGCAATTGCAATCATGCTTGCCACGGGCTCAATCGGGTTTGTAACATCTTTCTTCTTTGTCCATTACCTCTTCTCATCAGTGAAGATTGATTAGATAGCCATTGTTATTTGGTTGGTGGGTCGCTACAGAGAACTTCGTCCATGCATATTTGATGTTTTCTCATTCCCGCTTTTGTCTTACTTCCGAAGGTTTTTCCCTTTTTATGTTTTTTCTTGCAATTTTGTAGCAACCATGTGATTTAATCATAGTTTGTTCTTCTTGGTTATGTAATATTTTTTACAATTGAATCGGCTTAAGAGGACCTTTTGGATTCTGATCACTTCTCTGTTCCTTCCACCTCATAGCATTTCAATTGAACGGGGGAACTGAATTAGAGCTTCTCCCAAGTGTTCATATGATATTTCTTGAAATTGAACGACGCACTATGGGCGAGCCAGTTATCTGGAGAAATTCATTTCTGCTTAGATCTTTAGTCGACTGATACAATGTGAAGTTCCATCTTTGGTACTTTGCACTTGTGTAGAGACTAATACTTAGCATGATTCTACAGTTGTCAAGATTTGGATTGAGGCTTAACTTTTCTGGCACTCTGTATTACCCAGTTGAGCTAGAAGAAAACGTATTTGTTTGGATGAAGGAAAAAAGAAGAGATAGAAGTAGTAAAATTTTCTTTTCCTTGTTTGGTTAAGAGAAAAGTGAGAACGCAGGGAAAAAGTAATAAAATGAAATTATTTTTATGCCTTTATAATAAAGTAAAATTTCTTCAGTCGTGCAATGTTTGTCCACTTTGGTTTTGACACCCAAACCGAGGCCGAGAGAATAAAAGGAGTAAGTGACCTAAATGCCCTTCTTCTCCCCATTTATGCTGTTCTGCATAGTTGGCATGCCATCAGTTTAAGTTCAATTGAAAAGAAACCATCATTTATAAGAAAAAAAATAAAAAACAATTTGTTGACAAAATAATGTGTACAAGTAAAATTGGACAGGATGTTAAAAAAAAATTACATTCTTAGGTCTCTTTTGATACATGGAATTCGAACTATGGAATTGGAATTTGGGACTTCAATTCCAATTCTGGTGTTTGGTAGCACAAAAATTATGTGGATTTGAAATTGATAGTGCAAAAAATGAATTGGAATTGGCAAAATTCAATTCTATGGAATTGAATCCCATGAAATTTCAATTACAATTCAATTCCAATTTCACCAATTCCGTATACCAAACGAACCCTTAGTATAAGGGCAATTCGACAGGACATTTGGAAAGAAATCATTTTATTCTTTGGTAGAGCCTTAGAGATGGCAATCCTACTCCAATTCGACCTTTACCGACTTGGCCGGAGAATAAAATATCTGAATCCAAATCGAAAAAATTAAATATCTAAAACCGTACCGAAAATATTTAAACCGAACCTGACTCTTATCGGGTTGGATTTGGATCGGTACATTTGACTGACCCGACCTATATCCGACTTTAAGTTTTTAAAATTCCTATATTCCATGTATGCTTGATACACATGTTTTGAATGTTCTAAAACTTAATGTATTTCTTTATATTTTATTTTTTTATTATGGATAAATCTTGTGTGTCACCCCTATGTTATTTTTTTGTACTCCGTATATTATTAGTTGAAATTTATTATTTACTTTTTCTGAGTGTCACTCGGTTTTAACTATTTTTGTTAATATCTTAAATTTTATGTCGTCTTTAAAATTTTAATTTTTTTAGTGTATTTCAATCTAAAAAAATTCATGAACACTTATATTAGTATTCAAATCCATATTTGACCATAATCGACCTAACCGAACCTTAAACTGAGTCCAAACCAAAAAATAAATATCTGAAACTGACCTGCCGAAATTAAACCCAAACTTGACATAATTTGGGTCAGATTTCAATATACTCAAACTCGATCGAACCCGATTTGTTTCCATCCTTCTTAGGCCACAGGGTGTGGATTTTGGCAAAGGAATCAGGGCTGAGGTGGTGACGGTCTCAATCGGGGAACACCGTCCCCTTGCCATTGAGGATTGACAAAATCAACATGATCGATTATTGTCAATGTGGCCGGTCGAAAGACGACACCCACACAACACAACTTTAGGTCATATTCTTTTCACCTAATCTGAATGGTTCTGATCTGATTTGAATAAATTTTGATCTGATCTGATTCAAATAAAAACAATTAATAAGTAAAAAAATAAGTTGAGGAAAATATGACTTTAGTGTTTACACTATCTACGTAAATCTAAACTTTTACTCATATTGGCACTAGTTTTGCTAAGCATTGTAAAACTTCATCCAGCACACACTAAACATTAAAAAGTATAAATTCCAGGGCCGGCTCCGAAAAATGAAAAAATAAAATTCACTCGGTCCTAAATTTATATTTAAGGCCCTATTTTATTTTTTTTAAAATATTTTCCTTTAAAAGTATTAACAAATTTATAAATATGGGGCGCTAAAATTTTAGGGGTCCTGTGCGGTTGGGCCACTTTGCACACCCTCCATGATAAATTCCATTCCTCTCTTTTTCCTTGCTATTCTTGTACTCCGTATTTTGCTTCCATTTTCATTTCTCCCCGCTTCCATGCCAAATTTGGTCGCTTCTTCTTTTTTCATCCATTCCTCCTTGTCAACCAAGAGTTCCTAATCAACTTTCTCTTTGAGAAACACATTATCGCTTTGAAATTATATTTTTAGCTCTCAGTTTAGCATCGATATGATAAAAGATAACAAACTGAATGTAAAAGATAGAGTAAAATTAAAGGACCACGTAATATTTCATAATAAATGACTAAATATAGAAAATCTATTGTTAAAAATAACCAATTATAAAATTTACTCAAATAAAAATAGCTTGAGTGAAAAAACTATGACAAATCTATACTATTCAGGATCAAAATCGACTTTGAATTGTGTATAGAACCTGTACTCCCCCTTCTCCATTTCCAAAATAATATCTCCCATTTTGAGACCAATAAATCGTCAGTTTTGGAATCAGATTTGGACTGAAATCAGCCCCGCGTGCAACATTGGTTACTAGTAGCGTATATACAGTCCCGCCCAATGGGGAGTTCAGAATGTTCTTTTGCACAAGACCTCCAAATTTAGGGAGCCCATCATTTATATATATCTTATACCTAGGATATCTCAGCCTAATAGAGTTTCAAAGTCCAATGCTTTATCCATTTATGGAGTAATTGGATATTTATTTCTATGATTCTTTATTCTTCCTTCACTCTTCAGCGGCATCCCGGCTCTTCGATTCCTCGTCCTCAATTTTAAAATTCCATTCTTCTTACTGGTAACTTATCATGGGGAACTTTGTAGCCTAATTGAAACTTTTGAGTCATCCTCTTTTGAAAAAAATTGAAATTAATTATATTATGTTTAATGAAATAATTAATATTAGGAATAGTATTTTTGCTTTATCAAAATATCTATTTTTAACATAAAATTCGGGACCTAAATTATTAAATTGCACAGGACCTTTCATGATGATTGGGCACCCCTGGGTATATAAAAGAAGTGTTTAACATTAGCAGGGTACACTTGTAATAATATGCTATTTTCAAACTTAGTTTAAGAGTTTTGGTTTTCTTCATATCAAATTAGAGAAAATGTCATATACAGAGTAACATCTTCTATGCATAGAACTAGTTCATTAAAATAGTTCGATAAACATATTATACCTAAAAAATTGTAAATGATCATTGGTCGGAATATGCTAGGTGTACCTCAATTTTTGTATCCTAACTCGTACACTAGTGTATCACAGACAGACACATGCAACCATTGTGTGTGCTACTCTACACACAAACAATGATTGTATGTGTGTAAGTGATATACTGTCGTGTAAGTTTGGTATACAGTTTATAGTACCTCTAAGGCACTTCTAAGTTAAACAATGGCTAGTGCCAGTGTGCCACTCTAGACTGGTGGAAAGCAAATGGGGGTGTTCACTAAATGAAAGAGAAGACAAGTTTGGTGGCATGGTAACACTTAAGATCTACTACCTCATATGGGAGATCTTGGTTTGAGTTGCCCTCCTAACAAAATAGATTCACTATGACTTATTGGGTTTGAGAGTATGACTACACTTTTATACGTATCATAATTGTCATATAAAAAAATCCCAGCCCAAGTTGGATATGATCAAACGCGTAGTGTCCACACCGGAGGCCAGAGGGTAAAAAGTTTACCCTCCAAAATTTTGCACAGCGGCATAACTTCCCTGCTCAAGAGGGGTGCCACAAAAATTTAATTTAAACACGAATGACAACAACAAAAAAATGATTATGCCGTGTATGCTAAGTATGAAATTTTTACACGTAATAGGGATTCTCATTCTTTTTCGTTAAGACTCAAATTATTGTTCATTTTATCTTTTATCAACCTATTATCCCACCCGAAAATACTGGGGTGTAACTTTTGTTGAATGAAAAATGAAAATTTGAGTTTGCAGTGTTTATTTAAATACGGATGACGTATCAAATTAAATGAAATTTGTTTAATTTTCAAACTAGCCGTTGCCGAAAGAGCTAAGACCTCCAGTCCTCCTTGCTCTAAGCTCAAACGCTCTCCGCTCCCACGCTGTTAATCATTCTTCACACGCTTCTCTCTCTCTCTCTCTCTCTCTCTCTCTCTCTCTCTCTCTCTCTCTCTGACTGTGTGCGTCTGAGGAAAAAAAGCCCATTCAAGAATGATGTTCACAGAGGGATTGGATGAGTCTGCAATAAGCTGGATCAAACAGGTGCACCAGAACTACAGCTCTCCCTAATTTCCGTTTTCATCAAGCAAACCCTTACATTTTCTTGATTTTTTTTTAAATTCTTGCCATGTTATATTGTCTTTTTCTGGGTCATATTCTTCAGGGGCCATGCCTTCCTCTCAATTCTTTGAATTAAAGCTCGGAACTTTATATGTGCAGGGTTGTGATGTTAAGAAATCTGAGAATAGATCGCCCTTAAGTGAAAATTACCCACTCCCTAGGTCCCCATTAGCGTACAGTGGGACACTACATGGTTTGCCGCCCTTGAAATTCTACTCGGGATTCTTGGGAGCATCTCCCACTACTGTAGCTTTAAGCCCGGACAGATATGAAGATGAGTATGAAGACTATGACAGCGAGAGCGTGGGTTCTGGCCCAGAGGAGACTAGTTTGCATCACTTGGACGAAGAGATGCTTAATTTGAAGTCCGAAATAGAATCAAATGGAGAATTGGGCATTAGACCTAATTTGATCAAAGGGGTTTCAAAGGAGAATCTTCGGATCGAACTGCCCAGTAATAGCCGGAGATTTACTGATGTTCAATCTGTGTTTGGGGTTTCAAACATTCTGCTAAGAGGGAATACTCAACCCCGTAGTGCCTATGTAAGAGAACGATTGACATTTCAATTTTGCACTTTATCCATCTATCCATCATCCCTTAGGAACAAAGAAATAAAAAGGTTAGAAATTTTACTCTTATGTTTTATTGGACTGCTATTTATATCTAATGCAGGCTACACCAGTAGGGAAGCTTTTTGATGAGTTGGGAACCCCAAGTGCCCCTCCTGTTGTTGATATTGGAGGAGCACAACAAGCCGGCCACTCTGAAGTTGCAGATTCATCTAATGGGATGGCAGGAATTGAAGATGTTTTTGCTGGTGAAATGGAAAACTCAAATGATAGTAGTATAGAAGGATACCATACTCATGCTGGAACTTTCAGTGGGTATGACTGTTTTTGGCCATTATATTACAAATTGAGAGAGTGGCTTCCCCATCTTTTTCTCTATCTCTCTGTTTGGTTGGAGGAATTCAGGGGGAAAGAGAAATGAAGATAATAAGGAAAAGAAAGTTTGGTGTTTGGTAATAAATGAAAAGAAAAGAAATAGTGAGAAAATGTAAACTTAAAAGGGCAAGGTGATTTCCCTTCCACTGTTGTGAGGAAGAGAGAAAACACCAAACTCCTCCTTCATTCCGCCCCCAGCTGCCACTCCCCTATCCCAACACCCCCCTGCCACTGCCCACCCCCCATTGTCCCTTCCCCAGCCACCCCCACTCTCCCTTCCCCGCCCCCTTCCCCTTCCCCTCAACCATCTTTATCTTTGTTTTCCTTACTAACCAAACAAAATTAGGATTTTTGTTT